CCTTGACTAACTCATCAAATGAGCCCCCAGGGGGCATAGGATCCCGTAGGGCCATCTGAAGCTGCTGAGGGTCCATTTGGCACCACAGGCAAGCTAAAATGCGCTCACCGCCCAAACAGGGTCAGGGTGCCACATTCATGTGGGTCTTCAGGGCATGGTGGTCCGACCATGGAACTGCCATAGCGGTAATCCAGTCCACTGTAACCCCCTCCACGAAAATCAAATCAAGCGTGTGACCAACTCTGTGCGTGGGGGCTGTTACGTACTGGGAGAGTCCCAGTGCCACCATGGATGACACCAGGTCCACCACCATTGGAGAAGTCACCCAGGACAATCAGTCTAGGGAACTCCAATGCCCAGTCGGACACGGCCTCAATCAGGGATGACAGGCTGTCGGCCGGTGCGTTGGGCGGTTGGTACACTAACCAAATACCCAATCTCTCCCCAGCTTCCCACACAAAGCCAGCACACTCTGTGCTTGTAAGCCTCAACGGTGGGAGCGCCCTGAAGGAGTAAGCCTCCCATATGAACAGAGCCACTCCTCCCCCCCTGCCCCATAGTCCGTGACTGGTGGAGGATGGAGAACCCAGGTAGAGCCAGTTGAGAGAGTGCTACAGTCTCCCCTTCTCGTACCCAGGTCTCCATCATGCACGCCAGGTCCACATTTTGCTCCAAGAGAAAGTCCTGTTTATGGACCTGGCATTGCACAGCACCAGTGATGGAGAGGGGTCATTTCTCCTAGCCCCACTGACTGCCACCTTTGGGATTAGGCGCAGACTGGAAGGTGGCCGAGTTTCTCTGTTTCTCTGTCCCCTTCCCTTCATTTTCTGCCTGGCCCCACCACTATTCTCTATTCTCTTCTCCTTCTGCTGTGGGGCTAACTTCCCCTCACTGGCTGTTGCTAGGCAACCAAGCTTGGTTTTGTCAGTAAAAAGACAAAGGCAGAGGCCTACTTTGGCCTTTGTGGAGAACTCATTGGGGTCAGTCCTGACTAGGTTTGCCAGCTCCAGGTTGGGGAATTCCTGGATATTTTGTGGTGGAGTCTACAGAAGCCAGAGTTTGCGGAGGGAAGAGGCCTCAGCTGAATAGAATGCCATAGAGTCCACCCTCCAACACAGTTATTTTCTCTCTCTCTCTCTCTTTTTTTTTTTTGGATCCCCCTAAGGGGAATTTTTTATTGATTTTTTTACAAACTACAACCGAAAATATGGGAAGGGGAACTACATCTAAGTAGAAAGAAAAAAGACCCGCTGGTAACTAAAAACCCAAGAGTAGGAGATCAATACACCAGCTTATCTCAATTGTTACTTTAAAAAGCTAATAAAACAATGAACATAGTTGGTTATGCTAGGTTAATTATCTTTTAACTATTCATTTAACTGCTTAAAGAAACCCCCAGAGCATCCCAAAGTTATTTCAGAGTTTTCAGGCACAAATCAGAGTCCTTCAACCACTATTTATTCTTCTCTTTTCTAATCCTCAATTTGTATGGACTTTTGGGGGCAGCCGTCCCCTTTTCAGAGGGTGAGTCCTCGTCCAAAGACCCCGAGCCTAACTCGCCATCAGATTTGCTTTCTTCTTCTTCCTTCT